TAAGGAAATTTGTGCCCTCTTTACTACCGATCTTATAGCTACCATTGCTTTTGGTATTAATGCCAATAGTCTGAAGAATCCTGAAGGAGAATTTCGCACACATTGTCGCAAAATTTTCCTCTTTAACATACCACGCGCTATAGAATTTTCAATAGCATTCTTTTTACCCAAATTAGTTTCACTCTTCCGTGTCAAGCTTTTCACACCAGATTTTTCCAATTTCTTGCGATCCACTATTAAATACGTCATGCAGGAAAGAGAGAATAGTGGTAAACTGCGTAATGATTTGATTGATATATTGGTGGCAATCAAAAAGGAGGTTGCAACGGGAAATATAAATGAGGCCATAGCTAAAAATCCAGATGTTTTGGTGGCCCAAGCAGCGGTATTTTTGACGGCTGGTTTTGAAACCTCCTCCTCAACTATGACTTTTACTCTATTCGAATTAGCTAAGAGGCCAGATTTGCAGGAACGTCTTAGAGAGGAAATCAATCAGGCCTTGTTGAAAGAAAATGGCACTTTGTCTTATGAAACCATAACCACTCTGGAATATTTAAATATGGTGGTGGAGGAGGTATTGCGTTTATATCCTATTTTGCCTTTCTTAGATCGTCAACATAACAGGCCTGCTGGTGAAAAACAAGGTTTCAGCTTAAAGCCTTATTACGATTACACTTTACCCGATGACATGCCTGTATATATACCCATCTTTGGCATACAAAGAGATCCTAAGGTAAGTTCTTTTTTTATTTTATTTAATTTCCAAGTTTTTTTTTCATAAATATTGGCTAACTTTAGCACTGGCCAAATCCCAATACATTTGATCCCGAAAGATTTTCACCTGAAAATAAAAAACAACACAACTCCATGACGTATATGCCATTTGGAAGTGGTCCTCACAATTGCATTGGAATGCGCATAGGTTTATTACAAACAAAAATAGGTCTAGTGCATATTTTCAAAAACCACAAAGTAGAACTTTGTGCCGAAACACCCACCAAGTCTATATTCGATCCTAAAGCCTTTTTATTACAATATGAAAATGGTGTACCTTTGAATGTGATAAGAGATAATCTCTTCGATAAAAATGTACTCGTTAAATAAATAAATTGTTTGTAATCGAATCAAATTAAATAATTATAATATTTATAGATATTATAACCTGCGTTTAACAAATTTAATATTTTCATTTTGTATTGTTATTAAACTAATATATTGTTAATACCTATTACTTGTAGATATTTATTTATAATAAAAAACACAAATTATTTAGTTTTAAAATATGACATTTTAAAAATGAATTTTATTTTACTAAAACTAAAAATTATTAATTAAATACTAATAGTTCTAGATCAGTTTTAGTTAAGTTCTAGTTTTGTTCTAGGTTAGTTCTAGTTCAGTTGTAGTTCAGTTCTAGTTCTAGTTCAGTTCTAGTTCTAGTTCTAGTTCAGTTCTAGTTCTAGTTCAGTTCAGTTCTAGTTCAGTTCTAGTTCAGTTCTAGTTCAGTTCTAGTTCAGTTCTAGTTCAGTTCTAGTTCAGTTCTAGTTCAGTTCTAGTTCAGTTCTAGTTCAGTTCTAGTTCAGTTCTAGTTAAGTTCTAGTTCTAGTTCGGTTCTAGTTCAGTTCTAGTTCAGTTCTAGTTCAGTTCTAGTTAAGTTCTAGTTCAGTTCTAGTTCAGTTCTAGTTCAGTTCTAGTTCAGTTCTAGTTCAGTTCTAGTTCAGTTCTTATTCACTTCTAGTTTAGTTCTAGTTCAGTTCTAATTCAGTTCTAGTTCAGTTCTAGTTCAGTTCTAGTTCAGTTCTAGTTCAGTTCTAGTTCAGTTCTAGTTCAGTTCTAGTTCAGTTCTAGTTCAGTTCTAGTTCAGTTCTAGTTCAGTTCTAGTTCAGTTCTAGTTCAGTTCTAGTTCAGTTCTAGTTCAGTTTTAGTTCAGTTTTAGTTCAGTTCTAATTCAGTTCTAGTTCAGTTCTAGTTCAGTTCTAGTTCAGTTCTAGTTCAGTTCTAGTTCAGTTCTAGTTCAGTTCTAGTTCAGTTCTAGTTCAGTTCTAGTTCAGTTCTAGTTCAGTTCTAGTTCAGTTCTAGTTCAGTTCTAGTTCAGTTCTAGTTCAGTTCTAGTTCAGTTCTAGTTCAGTTCTAGTTCAGTTCTAGTTCAGTTCTAGTTCAATTCTAGTTCAATTCTAGTTAGTTCAGTTCTAGTTCAGTTTTAGTTCAGTTCTAATTCAGTTCTAGTTCAGTTCTAGTTCAGTTCTAGTTCAGTTCTAGTTCAGTTCTAGTTCAGTTCTAGTTCAGTTCTAGTTCAGTTCTAGTTCAGTTCTAGTTCAGTTCTAGTTCAGTTCTAGTTCAGTTCTAGTTCAGTTCTAGTTCAGTTCTAGTTCAGTTCTAGTTCAGTTCTAGTTCAGTTCTAGTTCAGTTCTAGTTCAGTTCTAGTTCAGTTCTAGTTCAGTTCTAGTTCAGTTCTAGTTCAGTTCTAGTTCAGTTCTAGTTCAGTTCTAGTTCAGTTCTAGTTCAGTTCTAGTTCAATTCTAGTTCAGTTCTAGTTCAGTTCTAGTTCAATTCGAGTTCTAGTTCAGTTCGAGTTTAGTTCTAGTTCAGTTCTAGTTCAGTTCGAGTTTAGTTCTAGTTCAGTTCTAGTTCAATTCTAGTTCAGTTCTAGTTCAGTTCTAGTTCAGATCTAGTTCAATTCTAGTTCAGTTCTAGTTCAATTCTAGTTCAATTCGAGTTCTAGTTCAGTTCTAGTTCAGTTCTAGTTCAGTTCTAGTTCATTTCTAGTTCAGTTCTAGTTCATTTCTAGTTCAGTTCTAGTTCAGTTCTAGTTCAGTTCTAGTTCAGTTCTAGTTCAGTTCTAGTTCAGTTCTAGTTCAGTTCTAGTCAGTTCTAGTTCAGTTCTAGTTCAGTTCTAGTTCAGTTCAAGTTCAGTTCTAGTTCAGTTCTAGTTCAGTTCTAGTTCAGTTCTAGTTCAGTTCTAGTTCAGTTCTAGTTCAGTTCTAGTTCAGTTCTAGTTCAGTTCTAGTTCAGTTCTAGTTCAGTTCTAGTTCAGTTCTAGTTCAGTTCTAGTTCAGTTCTAGTTCAGTTCTAGTTCAGTTCTAGTTCAGTTCTAGTTCAGTTCTAGTTCAGTTCTAGTTCAGTTCTAGTTCAGTTCTAGTTCAGTTCTAGTTCAGTTCTAGTTCAGTTCTAGTTCAGTTCTAGTTCAGTTCTAGTTCAGTTCTAGTTCAGTTCTAGTTCAGTTCTAGTTCAGTTCTAGTTCAGTTCTAGTTCAGTTCTAGTTCAGTTCTAGTTCAGTTCTAGTTCAGTTCTAGTTCAGTTCTAGTTCAGTTCTAGTTCAGTTCTAGTTCAGTTCTAGTTCAGTTCTAGTTCAGTTCTAGTTCAGTTCTAGTTCAGTTCTAGTTCAGTTCTAGTTCAGTTCTAGTTCAGTTCTAGTTCAGTTCTAGTTAGGTTTTAGTTCAGTTTTAGTTCAGTTCTAATTCAGTTCTAATTCAGTTCTAGTTCAGTTCTAGTTCAGTTCTAGTTCAGTTCTAGTTCAGTTCTAGTTCAGTTCTAGTTCAGTTCAAGTTCAGTTCTAGTTCAGTTCTAGTTCAGTTCTAGTTCAGTTCTAGTTCAGTTCTAGTTCAGTTCTAGTTCAGTTCTAGTTCAGTTCTAGTTCAGTTCTAGTTCAGTTCTAGTTCAATTCTAGTTCAGTTCTAGTTCAGCTCTAGTTCAATTCTAGTACAATTCTAGTTCAGTTCTAGTTCATTTCTAGTTCAGTTCTTTTTGCAAATTTATGTTTAACACCTAATTTACCGAACCTTGTTCTGTTTTCTCTAATTACTATTTCAAATACCTGAATAACACTTAAAATTGTTTTTCTATCATTTGTTTGTAAACATTTTTTTTTTTTGAGGTTTATTGACACTGCTACCACACACTGATCATGATTCGCAATTTATTATTAATCTCTATGATTATAATCCTAATCAACACTGTAGTACAATTAATTGTAAACACTTAATTATTATTTAATCTATACTTAAAAGGGGAAGTTCAAATAGAAATTCATAATACGTAATAATAGGGTGTGTAGATGTTTTTAAAAAGTAAATAATTTTTTAATTATTGATAAGAATTTCTAATTTCTAAAGAACGTGCATGTGTTTGGCAAATGCGTTAATTATTCTATTTGAATATAAAATTGTTACAAAGTAAAGAATTCCCTTACTTCACAACCTGATTGCAATTATATTTGAAATCATTCTAAAATAAACAAATTGAAAAACATATACATAGCCTAAGTAGTAATTAAACGATTCTAGTATAGGCTTTTGATAATTATTGAAACTCTAGATTGGATTCTAGCAAGAACTATAGAGAAAATAAGCGACCAGAATATATACTACAATCCTGACTATAGACTAGACTATAGTCGAAAGTATAGTCTTGAGTATAGTCCAAAGTATAGACTAGACTATTCTCCAGTTTATAGACTAGACTATAGACTAGATTATAGTCCAGACTATAGGCGAGACTATAGTCCAGACTATAGTCCAGACTATAGACGAGACTATAGTCCAGACTATTGTCTAGGTTATAGTCCAGACTATAGACTATACTATAGTCCAAACTATAGACTATAGTCCAGACTATAGACTTAAATATAGTCGAAACTATAGACTATAGTCCAGACTGTAGACTAGTCTAAATGTATTAGCCAACTTCCCTATGATATTAACTATTTATAAGAAATAACCGTAAGTACTTTCACGGTACTTTAATGTAATACAGTCGTGCGTGCTTCTCTTAATTACAAGGTAAGCAGCGACAATTCTATTGAATTGCGACAAACACGATAGATTTTGTTTTGTGTTTATGACAAAAACCGTAAATATTATTTACTCTCTTTTTACTTAAAGTTTAGTTCAGATACTATTAAGATTAGTAAACTTAAAACGCTAAAGTTGTAAAGTATTACAATAAAACAAAATAAAGTACTTAATAGTGAAACGTTTAATTAAACATTTAACACCTAAAAAGGATTATTTAAACATCTAATAACATAAAGGATCTCGAATAATATTCAGGTGAATACCACCCTCTGATTGTAAAATTAAAGCCTTCGGATCAAGTTTGGGATGTAGTGAAGTTTTTGCACTTAAGGAAACACGATGATTACGTAGAAATTCGATTAAACCAATTTTAGTTTGTAAATAAGCAAACCGTTCTCCAATGCAGGCGTGAGGTCCCAAACCGAAAGGCATATAAGTATAAGGTGTTATGTTTTTACGGTTATCGGCTGAGAAACGTTCCGGTTTAAATTGCAATGGTTGGGGGAAGTACTTTATGGGAAATATATGAAAATTAAGTTAATGTTTTTAGAAATTTTGTTAAAATTATTATACCTGGGAATCCATGTGCAAAGCGTAAACTGGTATATAGGCGGGCATACCGCTGGGCATGCTGTAGTCATGAAAGGGCTTTAGAGAATAAAGCTCACGCTGCTCCACTGAACATTCTCTATCCAAAAATGGCAAAGGTGGATAAAATCTTAAAGTTTCCGCTATAATCATTTGTAGATATTCCATAGAATCCACCAATGTTTGGGTTATTCTACCACCGGTTTTTTGTAAAGCTTCTTCTATCTCTCGTCTTAGTTTCTCTTGGACTTGGGGATTACGAGCCAATTCATATAAAGCAAAAGACATGGTGGCCGATGAGGATTCAAACCCCGCCGTAAAAAATATAGCCGCCTGAGCCACCAATAAATCACCTTCAAATTTTATATGACCACTTTTATTCGATTCCGATTTGGTAGAATTTTTAAATTCTATTAAAATGTCTATTAAATCATTGCGGGTCTTACCCGATTTTTCTCTTTCGTTCAGAACATAATTCATGGTCGAACGTAAAAATTCAGTTTGTTCATCGGGTACCACCTTAATGCCCAGATATGGTACTAGATGTGGCATAAAGAAAACCACACTAAAATTAATGGCTCGCCGAGGATTAAAGTGAAATATTGCTCTACCATTACGACGAAAATCACCATTTGGGGATTTAAATGAATTGGCTTCGACCCCAAAAGCCACGGTGGCTATTACATCGGTAGTGTAGAGGGCGCAGAATTCTTTGAGTTCCAATTCAAAAGAATTTTGTTCGTTGTTGGTGAATGGCATGTTTAGAAGGTAATTGTTGAGATTTCGACCGACCTGTGGAAAAACAAAAGTAATAAAAATTATAGAATGAATTATAGATTAGACTATAAGCTAGACTATAAACCATTCTATAAACTAGACTAAAGACTAAACTCTAGAATAGTGTATAGACTAGACTATAGAAGACTTGCTCCAGATCTTCACTTACCTCCTCGACCAGCGGAAACATTTGTTTCAATTTGCCACTGGTAAAAAACGGTGTCAACTTAAAACGTATCTCCTTCCAGGCCGGATTTTTCAAAAAGAATAAATTCTGTGAACCCAAAGGATCACCCAAGACATCCGAGTTCGAGTAACGATTACAGAATTTATTAAAATCTCTTATTAAAATACGTTTTATCAGCTCTGGATCACGGATTAATAAAGCCGGTGTATGAAATAAATATATGCCCACAATGGCCTTATCCTTGGCCTCTGGATGATGATAAATATCCTTGATAACCTGAGCTGAACATTTCGATAAACGCAATAGAGGTCCCAAATTACCCACCAACATAGTGGGTGGTATTTGAGGTACCCCATAGCGGGTCCAATAGTTATAGCGATATTTTAAGTAGAAATATAAAGTGAGGAATAAAATTAGGATTAATGTAGCAAAAACTTTTAAATCACTTAACGACCACATTGCTCTAGATTTAAAAAAATACTGATATATTTTTGGTTAAGGGAATTATTAATATAATTTTTTTTGTAAGAAATTTTCTATTTAAAAATAATTATGTTAATTTTTATCTTAGATCAGTTAAAGTTCATAAGGCAGACGAAAAAATATTAAAATTAGAATTCTCTTATAACCGCATCTGAAAATGTAATGATAATCTTTTGTATATTGAAATTTGTAAAGCGTTTGAAATGCATAATTCTTTTTGATGGTGTACAAAACAACAAAAAGTACTTTTTTGCAAGTAAATAGTACTTTCTCTTCAATATAAACTCTTCGATAGACTGACAGTAAAAAGGTCAGACTATAGATTTAACTATAGACTATATTATAGGCTAGACCGTAGAATAGTCTAGACTATAGACTTGACAAGATACTAAACTATAGAATAGACTATAGATTAGACTATAGACTAGACTATAGACTAGACTATAGACTAGACTATAGACTAGACTATAGACTAGACTATAGACTATACTATAGACTAGACTATAGACTAAACTAAACTATAGACTAAACTATAGACTAAACCATAGACTAAACTCTAGACTAGACTATAGACTAGACTATAGACTAGACTATAGACTAAACTATAGACTAAACTATAGACTAAACTATAGACTAAACTATAGACTAAACTATAGACTAAACTAGACTAGACTATATACTAGACTATAGACTAGACTATAGACTAGACTATAGACTAGACTATAGACTAGACTATAGACTAGACTATAGACTAGACTATAGACTAGACTATAGACTAGACTATAGACTAAACTATAGACTAGACTATAGACTAGACTATAGACTAAACTATAGACTAAACTAAAGACTAAACTATAGACTAAACTATAGACTAAACTATAGACTAGACTATAGACTAGACTATAGACTAGACCATAGACTAAACTATAGACTAGACTATAGACTAGACTATAGACTAGACTATAGACTAGACTATAGACTAGACTATAGACTAGACTATAGACTAGACTATAGACTAGACTATAGACTAGACTATAGACTAGACTATAGACTAGACTATAGACTAGACTATAGACTAGACTATAGACTAGACTATAGACTAGACTATAGACTAGACTATAGTAGACTAGACTAGACTATAGACTAGACTATAGACTAGACTATAGACTAGACTATAGACTAGACTATAGACTAGACTATAGACTAGACTATAGACTAGACTATAGACTAGACTATAGACTAGACTATAGACTAGACTATAGACTAGACTATAGACTAGACTATAGACTAGACTATAGACTAGACTATAGACTAGACTATAGACTAGACTATAGACTAGACTATAGACTAGACTATAGACTAGACTATAGACTAGACTATAGACTAGACTATAGACTAGACTATAGACTAGACTATAGACTAGACTATAGACTAGACTATAGACTAGACTATAGACTAGACTATAGACTAGACTATAGACTAGACTATAGACTAGACTATAGACTAGACTATAGACTAGACTATAGACTAGACTATAGACTAGACTATAGACTAGACTACTAGACTAGACGACTAGACTATAGACTAGACTATAGACTATAGACTAGACTATAGACTAGACTATAGACTAGACTATAGACTAGACTATAGACTAGACTATAGACTAGACTATAGACTAGACTATAGACTAGACTATAGACTAGACTATAGACTAGACTATAGACTAGACTATAGACTAGACTATAGACTAGACTATAGACTAGACTAGACTAGACTATAGACTAGACTATAGACTAGACTATAGACTAGACTATAGACTAGACTATAGACTAGACTATAGACTACACTATAGACTAGACTATAGACTAGACTATAGACTAGACTATAGACTAGACTATAGACTAGACTATAGACTAGACTATAGACTAGACTATAGACTAGACTATAGACTAGACTATAGACTAGACCAACGGTTCCCAAAAGGGGGTCCGCGGACCCCTAGTGGTCCGTAGCAAAATCCTAGGGGGTCCGCGAAGACGAACGAAAAAAATCATGAATAAAAAATATTCTCTATATGTTACAAAATATTAAAAATATCTCCAAATTTTTCATAAATACTAAAATACACAATTTTTATTCAATAATCCCAGATTTGTTGGTGACTCTTTGAATTTTATTGTTTCGGTCGTTTATCAGGATGAAGCTAGGCGCTACAAATTTATTGTTTCACTTTTATAAAGTAAAGTATTACGTGATTTGTAATTTTTATAAATATATATGTATCGAAATAAATGTTTTTATAGCAGACGGATAATGATTTGCCTTAGAATTAAATACTGATACTGGTATCCCGGAATATGAAGTTAGGTCACATTTCATAATATTTTTTTAAATTGCAAGCAAAAGTGTAAATCTAGTTAATTTTAAATATAAATATTCCATTCCAACGTGATACACAGATTTTAACTTCATTTTGTTGTCCAATATTATTAAATCAACATCAGAAAATTCATAGCGTTTTGCGTAAATAGTCAAAACCACGCAGTAAAATAATTCGTAGGTATTTTAAAATTCAAATTTAAGATCCAAATTCACAGTACATTCGCAAAGAGTTCAGGTCATATTTTATGTGGGTAACGCATTCCGCAACAACATCGAAGAAGTCTAACTTTCACATATTTTCCCGAAAACTTAGCTTACATACTCAGCTCACTCCTATGCAATCGCAAAAAAATTTAGAAACATGACTCTTTAAGCACATGTCGACAATACTTGTTAAAGAAACCTTTTCTCTACCTTGACGAGAAATGAACATGAAAGCTCTCACGATCATAAAATTAAACATCATGTTAGAAGTCATTCTATATTTAAAACCATGAAATTGAAAACATCTCCGAAATACTAAATGTTCTCAATGTACGGGAATATTTTATAGGGTTTATGGACCAGGACTAAGACAATTTTCGGACGAACAATTACACAGTGATACAGCAAAAAAATGCAGGGGTTCTCATATACCAATTCCATTTCGTTATAGTCCATAGAGTAGGAATTTATTTTTAATTTTTCCCGATCACTTCGTTTAGTTCCTTTTTAAGAGCAAAAGTTGTGAAAAATAGCTATTTTTGAAGTTTTAACTTTAAAAAAAATATATGTTTGGTAGTTTGCAACCGATTTTCAAATTGGATATTTTGTTTTAAAGATACAAGTGTTGTCTTTCAACCCAAAAAAATAAATCCAAAATTTATGATTAATGTCTTGGTTATGGTCATTTAAGTAAAAAAACTAACACTTTTTTCACAATTTTTAATTTTCATACTGCTCTACGTTGGCCATGAAGTAGTAACTTTAGCTTTTATTACATTTGAAAAAAGGCACATTAAGTTGGGTTTCCAATGATGGTCAATTTATGATAATCGATGAAAAAGGTTATGAGTTGTGCTAAGTTTTATAAAAATATAGCATATTTCTTCCATACAAAAATGTTCATGTTTCTGGTTTTCTTTGTAACAAGTTTAAAAAATGTTTATAAACATTTTTATGCAAAAATTAATTTGTATGGAGAAAACCAAAAATTCGAGGAACATGCTATTAGAAAAATTGTCATAAATCATACAGTTTTTCATAGATTTTTATGAAATAACAAGTTTTAGAAACCTTTCTTTATGTGATTCTTCAGGAAAGTAATAAAAGATGAACTCACTGCCTCAAGGTCAAAGTAGAGCATGATGAAAATGAAAATTTTTTAAAAAAGTGTGAGTTTTTTACTTAAACGACCGTAACTCAGACATTTGACCATAAATTTTGGATTTCTTTTTTTGGATTAAAAGGCAACACTTGTATCATTAAAAAAAAATATCGGATTTGAAAATCGGATGAAAACTACTAAACTTATGATTTTTCAAATTTAAAATTTCAAAAATGGCTCTTTTTCGCATCTTTTGCTCTTAAAAAGTAAGTTAACGAAGTGATAGGGAAAAACTAAAAATATATTCGTACTCTATGGACCATAACGAAATAGAATTGGTATATGAGAACGACTGCATTTTATTTTTCTTCACTTTTGTATCACAGTGTTATTTATAACAATAAGATATCAAAATATGTATGGGGGTCCGTGAAATTAAATAAATTCCTCAAGGGGTCCGCGAAGTAAAAAACGGTGGGAACCGCTGGACTAGACTATAGACTAGACTATAGACTAGACTATAGACTAGACTACAGACTAGACTATAGACTAGACTACAGACTAGACTATAGACTAGACTATACACTAGACTATAGACTAGACTATAGACTAGACTATAGACTAGACTATAGACTAGACTATAGACTAGACTATAGACTAGACTATAGACTAGACTATAGACTAGACTATAGACTAGACTATAGACTAGACTATAGACTAGACTATAGACTAGACTATAGACTAGACTATAGACTAGACTATCGACTAGACTATAGACTAGACTATAGACTAGACTATAGACTAGACTATAGACTAGACTATAGACTAGACTATAGACTAGACTATAGACTAGACTATAGACTAGACTATAGACTAGCCTATAGACTAGACTATAGACTAGACTATAGACTAGACTATAGATTAGACTATAGACTAGACTATAGACTGGCCTATAGACTAGACTATAGACTAGACTATAGACTAGACTATAGACTAGACTATAGACTAGACTATAGACTAGACTATAGACTAGACTATAGACTAGACTATAGACTAGACTATAGACTAGACTATAGACTAGACTATAGACTAGACTATAGACTAGCCTATAGACTAGCCTATAGACTAGACTATAGACTAGACTATAGACTAGCCTATAGACTAGACTATAGACTAGACTATAGACTAGACTATAGACTAGACTATAGACTAGACTATAGACTAGACTATAGACTAGACTATAAACTAGACTATAGACTAGACTATAGACTAGACTATAGATTAGACTTCAGTTTAGACCAAAACTATAGTGCAAAGTATTGACTAGGCTACAGACTAGACGATAGATCTGACAAGACTGCGAATTAAACATACTTGAGGCCCTGAACTTTGAAAAAATCCAAATAGATACAAAAAGTATGTATTCATATTGTTATTTATATTAATTAACATAAACTCTTTTTTTAATATGATCACGTCTTTAATAAAAATATCTATTCTACTTTTAGCTTCTCAATGTTTGGCTTAAATATTATCATATCGATTGCACTCACATTAACCACCATCTACCTAACCTATAAATGTATATACTCATATTGGAAGAGACGTAATATACCATTTATCAAACCCTTGCCCCTAGTAGGCAATTTGCTAGATTTAATACTATTAAAAGTATCATTTGGTGAACTTTTTCAACAATTATATGAGCACCCTACCCTTCAAAACAGAGACTATGGTGGTATATTTGTATTACAGCAACCGGCGCTCATAATACGAGAACCAGAATTAATTAGAAAGTTACTCATCAAAGATTTCGATATGTTCTTGAATCGATTTGAGGCCGCCGATCAAATATACGATCATATGGGGTTTTTAACTCTGCCACTTTCGAAATATGAGATTTGGCGTACATGTAGAAAAAAGATGTCTGAAGTTTTTACCTCAGGTAAAATAAAGTATCGCATGTATCCTTTAATGCTGAAAATTGCTCAGGAATTGGAGTCTTATATCTTAAGACAATTTGAAAATACCTTATATGATATAAAGGAAATGGATATAGAAGTTAAGGAAATGTGTTCTCTATTCACTACAGATCTGACTTCTGTTTTGCACTATGGTGTGGATGTTAAAGGTTTAAAAACTGGCCATTCCTCACTCAGACAACAAACCAAAGAACTATTTAAGGCTAATTTTAAACAAGTTTTAAATTTTCTAATAGTATTCTTTTTACCTCATCTAACGACTGTCTTGAGAGCCAAAGTCTTTAGCTCCTGCTATTCGAAATTTATGCGTGATTTTACTTTAGAGAGTTACTGGCAAAGACAAAAGATACCAGAACCTTCTTTGATACAAGGAGATTTACTAGATGTTTTGCAAAGATTTCAAAATGATGGATCTGTTACTGATTCTTATAGCCAACATCCCGATTTTATTCCCTCACAAGTGGCCATTTTTTTATTGGCCGGTTTCGAAACCTCCTCCTCAGTTATAGGTTTCATCTTATACGAATTAAGCAAATATCCGGAGATTCAGCAACGTTTAAGATCGGAGCTGAACGAGGCCTTTAGCGGGGAGAAATGTTTATCGTATGAAAAACTTCAAGAACTTAGTTATTTACATGGTGTGGTATCTGAGGGCTTACGCATGTATCCTGCTGCTGCTTTTATAAATAGAGAATGTACTCCAGGCAAAGACTCACCTCAGGGATTTTATCTAAAACCTGATTTGTTTGTACCTAAGGGAATGCCTTTATATGTTTCTATACTGGGGCTACATAGGGATCCAAAGGTAAGTACGATTTTTTTAAGTTCTACAGGACATAGACTAGACTATAGACAAGACTTTACTATGGAATATACTATACTAGACTATAGAACATACTATAGACTAGACAACAGTCTAGACTATACACTAGACCATAGACTAGATTATAGAATATACTATAGACTAGTTTATAGACTAGACTATAGACTAGACTATAGAATAGACTATAGAATAGACTATAGATTAGACTATAGATTAGACTATAGACTAGACTACAGACTAGACTATATATTCGACTATAGACTATAGACTAGACAACAGTTGAGACTATACACTAGACCATAGACTAGACTATAGAATAGACTATAGACTAGACTATAGACTAGACTATAGAATAGACTATAGACTAGACTATAGACTAGACTATAGACTAGACTATAGACTAGACTATAGAATAGACTATAGACTAGACTATAGACTAGACTAGACTAGACTATAGACTAGACTATAGACTAGACTATAGACTAGACTATAGACTAGACTATAGACTAGACTATAGACTAGACTATAGACTATAGACTAGACTATAGACTAGACTATAGACTAGACTATAGACTAGACTATAGACTAGACTATAGACTAGACTATAGACTAGACTATAGACTAGACTATAGACTAGACTATAGACTAGACTATAGACTAGACTATAGACTAGACTATAGACTAGACTATAGACTAGACTATAGACTAGACTATAGACTAGACTATAGACTAGACTATAGACTAGACTATAGACTAGACTATAGACTAGACTATAGACTAGACTATAGCCTAGACTATAGACTAGACTATAGACTAGACTATAGCCTAGACTATAGACTAGACTATAGACTAGACTATAGACTAGACTATAGACTAGACTAGACTATAGACTAGACTATAGACTAGATAGACTATAGACTAGACTATAGACTAGACTATAGACTAGACTATAGACTAGACTATAGACTAGACTATAGACTAGACTATAGACTAGACTATAGACTAGACTATAGACTAGACTATAGACTAGACTATAGACTAGACTATAGACTAGACTATAGACTAGACTATAGACTAGACTATAGACTAGACTATAGACTAGACTATAGACTAGACTATAGACTAGACTATGAGACTAGACTATCGACTAGACTATAGACTAGACTATAGACCCCCCTAGACTATAGACTAGACTATAGGACTAGACTATAGGACTAGACTATAGACTAGACTATAGACTAGGACTATAGGACTAGACTATAGACTAGACTATAGACTAGACTATAGACTAGACTAATAGACTAGACGATAGACTAGACTATAGACTAGACTATAGACTAGACTATAGACTAGACTATAGACTAGATATAGACTAGACATATAGACTAGGACTACGATAGACTAGACTATAGACTAGACTATATACTAGACTATAGACTAGACTATAGACTAGGACTATAGACTAGATATAGACTAGACTATAGACTAGACTATAGACTAGACTATAGAATAGACTATAGACTAGACTCAACTATACTGTAATTGATACAAAATGGTGTCCTTTTTCCACAGCATTGGCCTGAACCTCACATTTTTCGTCCCGAACGTTTCGCCCCCGACAATTTGCCAAATATACATCCCCATGACTTATTTACCTTTTGGAGCTGGACCTCATGGTTTGTATAGGCAGTCGCCTAGGCTTGCTGCAAGTAAAAACTTGGCTTGGCTCACATACTACGAATATGTCGGGTGCAGAAGTGTACCCAAACCCCTACAGATATAAAATTTGATGCAAAATCATTTATGCTGCAGGCCAAAGGAGGAATTTATCTCAAATTTATTAAAGAACAAAATGGCTAATGTAGTTTGGTATGTGGAAAACTTTAAAAATAAATGGCTGTGTAATTTTTGAAATTTAAGTTATATTTGTGATCTGATTTGGTGAGTCCGATAAACTAAATTGTGAAGTAAGTTTTTGAGTTTTCGATGACTAACTTCAAAAGTTGCTCTTGAGGTTATGCTCTTAGATTCTACTTAGATTTGTATGGAATTTAATAAAAGGTTACAAAATAAGTAATTTTTAAGTATATATTTTATTTACTCTAAGTACATAATAGTATTCTGTTGTATGTTAAAGATTAAAAACTAATAGGAGCTATATATTAAAAGGAACCTATTAAAAACTACTTAAACTAAGGGATCTCTAACCAGATTCAGGTAAATACCATCAGCCGATTGTATAATCAAGGCATAGGGACTCAAGTTCATTTCCGGTGAGGTTTTCTCGCAAACGGTTACATAATGATTGCGCAAAAAGTTAAACAAACCAACTTTAGTCTGAATCATGCCAAAACGTTCACCGATGCAATTGTGAGGTCCCACACCGAAAGGCATGTAGGCACCCAAATTGTTGTATAATTTATTTTCCGGATTAAAACGATCAGGTTCGAATTTTTCGGGTTCAGTAAAGTACTAAAAGTGGAGAAAAAAAAAGATTATTAAAATTTTGCCTTATTATAATAACAGATACAAGAACATACCCTAGGATCCCTTTGCAAAGCATTGGCAGCTATATATACCGGCATGCCGGGTGGTATGGTGAAGTCAACATGTGGCTGTAGCGAATAACCCTTATCGGCAGTACATTCTCTATCCAAGAAGGGTAAAGGAGGATAAAAACGCAATACTTCCAAAATGACATTATTCAAATATTTCAATTCATTCAACTGCTCATAGGAAAGCTCGCCATTTTCACTTTGATGCAAAGCTTCACGAATCTCTTCTCTAACACGCTGTTGAACATCTTGATGTTTGGCCAATTCATATAAAGTAAAAGACATGGTGGCGGAGGAGGTCTCAAAACCAGCCGAAAAGAAAATAGCGGCCTGGGCAATAACCGAATCCAATTCATTGGCAAAATGAGTTTTATCGGTTTCAGCATCTTTACGGAATTTAACCAAAATATCGATAAGATCATTACGTTTCAAACCGGACTTGGCACGTTCATCCATAACATATTTAATAGTTTTACGCAAGAAGGTAGTAGTCTCGGGCGAGAAGAATTTAAATTTCATTAACTTCACCAATTTGGGCAAGAAGAACATGCAGGAGAATTCCAAAGAGCGGCGTTTGTTAAAATCAAAAATGCGTTTGCCATTAATACGGAAATCACCATTAGGATTAACTAAACTATTGGCCTGGACACCATAGGCTACAGTGGCAATGACATCGGTGGTGTAGAGAGCGTTAATATCCTTGACTTCATGCACATTATTATTGGGGGTCTTTTCGGTGAGATTGCAAAGGTATTTGTCCAATTCACGGCCAATCTATTAAAGAGGAACAAAGAAATGGAGAGCGATTAAGTTTAAAAGAAAGTCAAGTTTATATAATATTTTTTGTTAATACAGTTATTTCCAAACCAAACTCAAAGTTTTGAAAATGTAAAAAAGAAGTCTTTCATAAACTGACAGCTTTCATCCTTTTTAAAGAAAAAAAATTAATAAAACAAAGTTATTTTGCGATATAATTGACTAATAAACTGCTTACTACGATCTATTTATTCCAAATTATTGGTATTATAAAATATTTATATAATTTTCCCACAAAAAATTTGAGTTTTAACAAAAATTTGCAATTTTTACGCTTCAATAGTTTTTATAACAAATTCAGATGCTACATGATGATTTTCATAATTATTTTAAATTGTATAATTATAATTAAAAGCTATTTATTGCAAAATCTTGCTAAATGTTAATTTTCTCCATTTTCTACGAAAATTTCTAGTCATCATGACACTGTGCTTATGGACTTTTGTATCCACAGCTCCCTCTATTAATGAGTAGTGCTAAATTAATAGATTTTATTGAAATAAATTAACTAAATAATGATTTAGAATTCTCAGGAAATGGTAAAAATTACAAATTTGTTTAATATTTGCAAAATTTTCTAAACATTTCATTGTTTCCATTTATTTTTCTTTCCACCAGTGTTGTAAAACGTTAATAATTATATGAAATAAAGTAAATATTACCATTTTAAACATATAATTACCAATTTATATAACTTTTAAGTAAATAATTTAATGCTTTTTACTAAATATGTTTTAATTGAACTATTTACTTGATATTTTATGATTATTTTTTACTGTTTGTTTAAATTAACGTTTATTTGCTTCTTTCCAACACTTTTGCATTGTTTACCTTTTGACGCCCTCTAGTGTTAAGTAGTGTTTCGTTATTGTCTTTTGTGTGTTTGTGTTTACTCAACTACAGCCAACTTCATTTAGTTTTCAGTGAAAAAGGCGCGTGGTTTGACGTTTATAATAAAATTCTCATGTTGTTTTTTACTTTTGTGTGATTATCGAGAACGCTATTCAATTTGAAATATCCGAACGCCAAAGAAAGAAAAATTGTCCTAAACTAGCATTAAGCCAGATGTCCTCATCGTTGTCTAAGTGAGTTTTATTTAAACTATTTAAAACAAAACTAAAAATTTGCCAAAAATAAGAAAGCATTAACAAAAAACGCCTAATTGTTTTACGCTTTAAAAAAAACTTAACCCAACAACAAATAAATTTATAAACACTTTGTGTGTGAGTTTTTTGTTAATTAAATAATAACATTTAACAAAAATGTCTAGTGCCGCCACAAAAAAAGTCTACATCCAAGTTGAGTCGGCGGCTGAGCAACAAGAAAATTTGAAAAACCAACGTAAAACCTTGAAAGTTTTACAAGGTGTAGCCACCGATAAGGAAAATCTAACGGGTCGTCCACAATTAGACAAACTGAGTCGCCTTAAAGCAGCCGTTCATGAGACCACCATCTCAACGAATACGAGCAGCGATTATGCGAAACGTAAAAAGATAGAAACCAAAGCGGCTGAAACCCAAACCAGTCCCGACTCGAAATCCTCGAATGCCCGCAAAATTACTGCCGAGGACTTGTGCAGTGAGGAAAAACCGGGCGAACATTATTGGGAACGCTTGGCAGAGAAAAGGCGTGAGGCTTTGGAACAATCCTTAGAGGAAAATCAACGTTTGTATGAACGTATTGATGGTCTGGAGGAAGAGTTAAATACATCACGCCAACAGCTAGAAGAAGCTAAACATTTGGTCTCGGTTCTGACCGAAATGCTCGCTGAGGGAGAGGAAGCTGAGCCTGAAGAACAAGCTGCAGAAGAAGGTGAAGAAACTGAGGGTGAAAGCGAAGCTGGTGTGCAAGCTTTAGCTGCTGAGGAATCCGATGATTCTAATTCATCTACACCCAAGGCTGATAAACAGACCCAGAATTAATTTTAGCTTTTCATACAAATATAGTTATAAGTTTCCTATCATTTTAATCACCTTAATTAAGTCTTAAGGTTAGAGAGCAGCGAGAGCTAGAGAGCATTCATTCCTTTTGCTATATATTTGCGTTTAAATTATCATTAATAGGGTCTTGTTTTAGTTTTGTTTCCTTAACAATCAATAACGATTTCCTTAATAGTTAAATTATGTTTAAAACCTGAATTTTTCTCTATTGAAATAGTAATAAACAAGACTTTCTTTTTTTTTTAATCTAACATCTAACACTCTACGTTTTTACGTTTTCATTTTATAGCTAGTTTTTTTATATATTAGAATTATGTAGTTTTTTATATTAAAACTTTATGTTGTTAAAATTACTTAAGAACTATTTTGAACTATTTACCAGAGTTATTTTTTTATTATAAAAATGTTAAATTTAATTTTAGTTTAATAACGATTTCCTTTTTTTTTTTTTTTTGATCCACCATATTATAGTTTTAATTCGATTTAATATACTAATAATAAAACAATAATATTTGATTATAAATTTTAAACTAATTTTATATTAAAAAATTATCTTTTTATTCAAATTTTTTAAAACCCGTAGAATTCTTAGTAGACTCAAGAGAACTAATTTTGAATTAACAGAAATAGAAAGAAGGGGAACAGTTATTAAGAAATTTTTCTTATGCGGGTGTTCTAGTTTTTGTAATTTATAGTATTAGACAGTTTTTTTTAGCTCTATAGAGGCTGCTCTGTCATGATCGTTAGCTTTTCTGGAAGATTGATCTTTGTCTCTTTTTTTAAATCGATTTGTTTTAGGATTATTACAAGAAATTGCGTTGTTCTGTTGTCTCTTGTCAAAGATTTATAGATTTTCTTTAAATATTCCGTTTAATCAAAAACTCCCTTGTTTTCTTGTGTCTAACCTTTTCATCCCTCAAATAGGTTGCACTTTTAAAAATATTTACAAACAATTGTTATGTTTTTACATCTGCCCTTTTCAATTATTAAATGCTGAATCCTGGCATTTCATATTAAAAGATTTTACAATTTGTTTTCTTTCATTAGTTTCTAAAATTTTCATGTTTCTTTGGTTCTCTTAAGATCTATTCATTCTGTTCTGTATAAGAAAACCAAAAACAATTTTAATAATTTTACGATTATGGAATTTTTTCGTTTCAAAGTGTGAAACTCATTGTGACGTAGTAGTTTTGCAAATTTCGAACATTTGTTTATTTTGTCTAAAAGTAAGTTTAAGAAATTATCTGATTAAATTTTTAAACACAGAATTAAGCGTGGAAACGTTTTAATAATTTGCAAACTTTGTTTATTCTAGAGAACGGGAGATTGTAAACTCTTTAAATCTTATCAGTTAAATAAATAAAGTCTTGTTTTTACTTCCACAAATACTGAACAGTTGAGGTGGATTTCCAAGTGTAAATTTTGATTTCTTTTTAATATTGTCTAATCTTCTAAATATTCTAAATATTGTCTAATCTTCTAAATATTCCCACGCTTTCGTGTAAATAGTTGTTTGTTTTGATCTCAATAATTCCTACGCAGTATTTTTCCTATTTTTTTTTTTTTTGCTAAAAACTTTCCTATTCAAAATTTCTTTTTTAAAAACACTTTATCACTTTCCAACTTACCTCTTCCACTAATGGGAACATTTGCTTAATTTTACCACTAGCAAATACTGGAGTCAATTTCGAACGTATATTCTTCCATTTGGGGTTTTTAGCAAAGAACAAAGTATTAGCACCCACTGCATCCGAGTGAGGATCCGAGTATGAATAACGATTAGAGAATTGATTGAAATCTTTAATTAAAACATTTTTCACTAATTCCAAATCACGTATCAGCAAACAGGGCTTATTGAAAACATGTAAACCAATAACAGGATTATCCTTAGGTTTGCCACCCACTACACCCTCCTCATCGTATAGACTCTGGAAATGGGCACAGGGATCTTTTTTCCATAAAACAATATCCTTAAAATTGCCAAAGATGGGATGAGCCTTAATATAGGGTATCTTATGACGCTGCCAATAGTTGTAATGATGCTTAAGCCACAATGTTAAAAGGCCTATGATTGTGGCCAATATTATTAAAATTTCGGTTAAGAACATTTTGTTTTTATTAAAATTTCTTTAGTTTCTTTACTTTTTCAACTTTCACTCAAGACTAATGCTTAAAGAAATTCGTTCATGTTATTTTATAGCTTCTCTCGGTAAATTTCTAATTTCTATTAGAAATATTAAACAAATTCTTATCGTTAAATAATATAATAATTAAATAACTCTGCTGTGTGTTTTTATTTTCATTTTTGCATAGAAAGCACACATTGTATACAAAGAAAGTAAATAAAAAAAAAATCCGCAAGTGATCATTATTAAACACATTATTCAAAATTTGTTAGCATCATTGTGACTTTTAAAAATTAGGTTTTAAAATCTAGCTTGTCATCTGTCTATCTGTCTCGGGAACTAATCTACTCATATATTGGCCATTTAAATCATTCCCATACAATTTAAATCAAAACAAACATGATGACTAAAGTTATTTAAAACAGATTCCTATAGGGGGTTTTATGAAAAGTCATTTTAGTTTTAATTTATTTAGTCCAGACTATAGAGAGTCAGTCTATAGTCCAGATTTTAGAGTACTCTATAGTCCAGACTATAGAGTAGTCTATAGTCCAGACTATAGAGTAGTCTATAGTCCAGATTATAGAGTAGTCTATAGTCCAGACTATAGAGTAGTCTATAGTCCAGACTATAGAGTAGTCTATAGTCCAGACTATAGGGAGTCAGACTTTAGAGTAGTCTATAGTCCAGACTATAGAGTAGTCTATAGTCCAGACTATAGGGAGTCAGACTTTAGAGTAGTCTATAGTGCAGTCTATAGTACAGACTATAGAGTAGTCTATAGTACAGACTATAGAGTAGTCTATAGTCCAGACTATAGAGTAGTCTATAGTACAGACTATAGAGTAGTCTATAGTACAGACTATAGAGTAGTCTATAGTCCAGACTATAGAGTAGTCTATAGTACAGACTATAGAGTAGTCTATAGTACAGACTATAGAGTAGTCCGTAGTCCAGACTATAGAGTAGTCTATAGTACAGACTATAGAGTAGTCTATAGTACAGACTATAGAGTAGTCTATAGTCCAGACTGTAGTGTATTCTGTATTCCAGACTATAAAGTAGTGCATAGTCCATATTGCCTGTAGTCCAGACTTTAGAGTAAATTATAGTCCATTCATTTTCATGGAAATCCTTGTCTTGTTTTCTCCCTGTTTTCCCCCTCAAATCATTCATTAAAACTATACTAAAATATATTGTTATAAAATTATGTTTATTTCCTTTATTTTTATATGAAATTGTATATTTTCATTGTTTTCTTTATTTAACCTTCCCTTATTTTGCCTATTGCAATTAATAGTCATGAAAACTACACTTGCTAAATTTCTCCTCAATATCCTTAATGCGACATCTGATTTCGGGTGCGGAATCTTTTTGGAACTTTTCCAAATTCTCCTCGAAATTTTGTCTAATCGCTGTTAAGTGTTTCATATCCTTGGCATCGGTAAGACGTTTAATTAAAATTAAAACAATATTAAGAGCTTCCTTCTTAAGGCCGGTATGAGGTATGCCTGGAATACATAAAGAATTATAAGATTTTTTTTAATCAAATTAAAAAAAAAAAAAAAAAAAAAAAAAACAACCCACCTGCAGCATAAGTAACAGCCGATAATATATCCTGGGAAATCTTCTCTATTATGCCATCTCTTTCTAGTTGAAGATCCACCTTAACCTTTTTCTCTTTATTGCCTTCCAGCTCTTCTGTCAGTTCATTGTTTAGCACTTGTAAACGTTCTATGAATTTGGTTAAAGCCACCATTAGGCTGACCTGTACCGAGCGAGTATTGTCACGCAAACATTGTGAACAACGTTCGGCAAATAGCTGTTGATATTTCTTTTGAGTTTCAATGGAATTTTTTGGCCACGATTTTCCTAAGGTTTCACAGACAGTCTCTTTAAGTTTATTCAAAATATTGGCCCGCTTGTTTCGCTCATCTGTGGTTAAATCTTTGTGTGAATCAGTGTCATCTTCATCATCTGAGTTGGAGAGTTGACGCAGTTCTTTTTTATCCAATAAGTACCAGATCATATTGTAAACCTTTTGAAAATACAATGAAATATTTTACAAATAGACGATAGAGTACAATATAATTTAAACTATAGTTAATCTGTATTCTAATCTGTAGTCTAGTATATTTACCACTAACCACTAACCCACCGGACGCCACTAATCTAGTCTATAGTTTAGTCTAAAGTCTATAGACTATACTATAGACTAGAATAGTCTAGTCTATAGTCTGTCGTCTAGTCTAAAGTCTATGCTATTTTCTAGTCTAAAGTCTGCGCTATAAACTAGACTATAGACTAGACTATAGACAAGCCTATAGACTAGACTATAGAATAGACTATAAACTAGACTATAGACTAGACTGTAGACTAGACTATAGACTAGACTATAGACTAGACTATAGACTAGACTGTAGACTAGACTATAGACTAGACTGTAGACTAGGCTATAGACTAGACTATAGACTAGACTGTAGACTAGGCTATAGACTAGACTATAGACTAGACTATAAGACTATAGACTAGACTATAGACTAGACTATAGACTAGACTATAGACTAGACTATAGACTAGACTATAGACTAGACTATAGACTAGACTATAGACTAGACTATAGACTAGACTATAGACTAGACTATAGACTAGACTATAGACTAGACTATAGACTAGACTATAGACTGGACTATAGACTAGACTATAGACTAGACTATAGACTAGACTATAGACTAGACTATAGACTAGACTATAGACTAGACTATAGACTAGACTATAGACTAGACTATAGACTAGACTATAGACTATAGACTAGACTATAGACTAGACTACAGACTAGACTATAGACTAGACTATAGACTAGACTACAGACTAGACTATAGACTAGACTATAGACTAGACTAGACTATAGACTAGACTATAGACTAGACTATAGACTAGACTATAGACTAGACTATAGACTAGACTATAGACTAGACTATAGACTAGACTATAGACTATACTATAGACTAGACTATAGACTAGACTATAGACTAGACTATAGACTAGACTATAGACTAGACTATAGACTAGACTATGTAATAGACTATAGATTAGACTTTAGACTAGACTAGACAATAGACTAGACTATAGACTAGACTATAGACTAGACTTTTGGCTAGACTGGAATATAGACTAGACTATAGACTAGACTATAGACTAGACTATAGACTATACTATAGACTAGACTATAGACTATACTATAGACTAGACTATAGACTAAACTATAGACTAGACTATAGACTAGACTAGACTATGGACAAGACTATAGACTAGACTATAGACTAGACTATAGACAAGACTATAGACTAGACTATAGACTAGACTATAGACTAGACTATAGACTAGACTATAGACTAGACTACAGACTAGACTATAGACTAGACTATAGACTAGACTATAGACTAGACTATAGACTAGACTATAGACTAGACTATAGACTAGACTATAGACTAGACTATAGACTAGACTATAGACTAGACTATAGACTAGACTATAGACTAGACTATAGACTAGACTATAGACTAGACTATAGACTAGACTATAGACTAGACTATAGACTAGACTATAGACTAGACTATAGACTAGACTATAGACTAGACTATAGACTAGACTATAGACTAGACTATAGACTAGACTATAGACTAGACTATAGACTAGACTATAGACTAGACTATAGACTAGACTATAGACTAGACTATAGACTAGACTATAGACTAGACTATAGACTAGACTATAGACTAGACTATAGACTAGACTATAGACTAGACTATAGACTAGACTATAGACTAGACTATAGACTAGACTATAGACTAGACTATAGACTAGACTATAGACTAGACTATAGACTAGACTATAGACTAGACTATAGACTAGACTATAGACTAGACTATAGACTAGACTATAGACTAGACTATAGACTAGACTATAGACTAGACTATAGACTAGACTATAGACTAGACTATAGACTAGACTATAGACTAGACTATAGACTAGTTTATAGACTAGACTATAGACTAGACTATAGACTAGATTATAGACTAGACGACTAGACTATAGACTAGATTATAGACTAGACTATAGACTAGACTATAGACTAGACTGTAGACTAGACTATAGACTAGACAATAGACTAGACTATAGACTAGACTATAGACTAGACTATAGACTAGACTATAGACTAGACTAGACTATAGACTAGACTATAGACTAGACTATAGACTAGACTATAGACTAGACTATAGACTAGACTATAGACTAGACTATAGACTAGACTATAGACTAGACTATAGACTAGACTATAGACTAGACTAGACTATAGACTAGACTATAGACTAGACTATAGACTAGACTATAGACTAGACTATAGACTAGACTATAGACTAAACTATAGACCAGCCTATATTCCAGTCTATAGTCTAGCCTAAAGTCTAGTCTATAGTCTAGTCTATAGTCTAGTCTATAGTCTAGTCTATAGTCTAGTCTATAGTCTAGTCTATCGTGTAGTCTATAGTCTAGTCTATTGTCTAGTCTATAGTCTAGTCTAAAGTCTAATCTATAGTCTATTACATAGTCTAGTCTATAGTCTAGTCTATAGTCTAGTCTATAGTCTAGTCTACAGTCTAGTCTATAGTCTAGTCTATAGTCTAGTCTATAGTCTAGTCTATAGTCTAGTCTAGTCTATAGTCTAGTCTATAGTCTAGTCTATAGTCTAGTCTATAGTCTAGTCTATAGTCTAGTCTATAGTCTAGTCTAGTCTATTCTATAGTCTAGTCTATAGTCTAGTCTATAGTCTAGTCTATAGTCTAGACTATACTCCAGTCTATATTCCAGTCTATATTCCAGTCTATAGTCTAGCCTAAAGTCTAGTCTATAGTCTAGTCTATAGTCTAGTCTATAGTCTAGTCTATAGTCTAGTCTATAGTCTAGTCTATAGTCTAGTCTATAGTCTAGTCTATAGTCTAGTCTATAGTCTAGTCTATAGTCTAGTCTATAGT